CCAACAAGGTTGTCAACGCGCGTTCTCTGGGACAAGTTGAAGAAACAAACATGCTCAGCGGACGCACCTGGTTACTGTCGGGCAGGTTATACTCAACGAGACACCTATCCTCGCCGACGCTGACGAGTGACACCCTTCCATCTTCACGAGTGCCGAACTCTAGCCCCGTGATCGCTCTGCCGTGGCTACGGTGGCGGCCTACATACACCCACGTGTCTCGTGGCTGTACCTCTTCGTCCTACAGTAACACGATCCACGATTCGTCGCACGTTTGCCACGAGCGGGGCCGCAGCCAACGGGTGCGTCATCAATTTCGCAAAATTCCTGGTATCTGACATTCGTGTTACTACCCACAGTAGGTCCATCCACGAAGGATAATGCGAAGTGTTGGATCGCGGTCGTATTTCTACGAGCGCGATCGATACTCCTACTTCAAACATGACAGAAGCGCTTGGTCATTCTAGTGCTCCTTGTTTCCCCTGTATGTACACACGTACAGTCCATCGCGTCGAGTCAGTACATTCATACGTATATTTGGACGTTTGCAGTGAAATTTGTCCGGGGAAGCAGAACGTTTGGCAAACCTGTGGTCCCGCAGTGTTCATGGTCAAGTACTGCGCAACCACAGACACAAGGCTACCACGAGCAGCGCTATACGAGCATTTTAACCTGTTGTAGAACCGATTCTGCACATCCATCTGAGAACCACACGACTAGCAGCTGTGTTACCCACCTCGCTCGGCTTGTAGGGTTCTTCCGCGTTTGGTGACTGCTGCGCTTCTACCACCGAGTGCTTGAATAGCAACACGTGATTATCAGTGTCGCTTGCAGCCACCTGAACAAGTGTTCACATGGAAGAGCGTGCAGTATGAACTCTGGTTGCTGCCTTTTCCTTGTCAACGTATGTATTTCCTCGCGACCAATATGCATGTGCAGGACGCACGCCACGGTCTTCGCACTTCGCACATGTCCCAAACACCGGGAGTCACTTTCGCCGAGATTCATTTTCACCCAACCACCTCCCTCCAAACGTCTTCAATTCCACCTGCACGACCATCCAAGGCTCACCATTTCTCCGTCGGGGCTGAAGCGAACGGTGGATAGGGAGGCCGAAGAATAGCGGAAGCTAGCTACTTCCTCGAGGTCGGTTGCGTCTAGGATCTTGCAAGCACCTGAGCTGAAACCGATTGCAAGGAGGGTTCCTTGAGGGTGGAATGCGCAGTTTTGCGGCCGCAGACGAGCCGGGTCGAATGAGCGGAGAGTCACCAGCACCTGCTCGATATGGAGGCGTACCGAGAGATGCGTGGGCGAAGGCATGATGGAGACGTGACCACGGAAGACGAAGGGTGTGGACACAGTGGGCGGGTCCAAGCGAGTGTCGTGGTGGTAATACTCTTTCGTGTTGCTGGTATGGGTCCCCAAATACGCAATTATATGCAAACTCCCTGAAAGATCTGTCTTTGGGCATCGCATCGCCAACCTAAAGATTCCACGTTTCGGTTTTTCCATCGTTGCTCCCCACGCACCCATCTAACACTCCATCAAACATGTTACGCATTCATCAACAACGCATCAACCACGCATTTTGTTTTCTAGCCAGTATTTGTCTCGTGTCCTACCTTGAGATTGTAGTCCCACAGATGCACATCACCGGACTCGCACAGTATCACCAATCGCGGCAACAGGGGGTGAGCCGCCACACAAGCTACCGATCCCACCATTCCTTGCACCAGGACAGAGCCCCTCCTGGCCACACCAGGACCGTTAGGTTGTTGAGGAAGAGGAAGTGAGAACGCCCGGTGCATCACTGCTGTTGACAAACTTCATGGGTTGCAACATCACCCCTGTGGACAGTGAGATAATCGATGAACATACTACATATGACATTACCAAATCAATCTAATCAAGGCCTGAATAGGGCGTTCGGCTTCCTCCTCCGCAGAAACACTTCCTGCATAAATATCTGTCGATCGTTTCCGACGGAGACACAAGTTTCACCAAACCTCCATACCTTCGTTCTGGGTCAAGTTCCTCAAATGCCGAAGCGGCGCAAGCCACGACGTAGGCCCGATTAGTGCCCACGACGAAATCGGGAACTCGGAAAGCTGAATCAGCACCTCCTTTCGTGCGTGGCGGTAGCTTTGCCGCGAACGAGACAGATGTTACGCCACCGGCTGTAAAATCTTCAAACCAGGCCTGAGACCGGACACAGCCGTTCGCGACATCCCGAGAGAAATGGAGGAAGATTTTTCGCAGGTTTTGTGGTAACTACAACATTCAGACACGCTTGTTCACCCTTTATTGATTCTGGCGCTCCCACACGTATCCGTCGTAGTCCCTTGGGTTGATTCACGGCTTGCATCGATTGATAGCGCTGGAAGAATAAACACCAGTAATGTCGATCATCTGCTGTCAACTCTTTGTCTGCTATGAGGTGTTGCTGTTCGGCACTACGACGTTGATGGTGCACCATTACCCGACGACGTCAAACGCCCTTCTCGTGTAGCTATCTCCCCCATCGCACTCTCACCTCCAACCGGAACTTCAGGTCATAGAACCGCACCGCTCCATCCTCACCAGCTGTCACAACGTACATGGCTGCTCCAGCCGAGTCAAGGCCAACATCGTCCGAACCTGGTCCGTCCTCCGCGTGGGTGGCACGTTCATCGTCTACCGCCGGGCTGCCACCAGCGACAGTGCTTACGTGTGTAATCGCTCCGTCACAGAGTTTCAACACCTTGGGTTCGAACAAAGCGAGCGGAACCGGATTCCTTGGACTGATTGATTGCGTGTTTATCTCACAAGTTTCCGGTCTCGTTGTCCGGTTTTAGAGCTCTCGCGCCTGACACTCCGTGAATTGCTTCACGCGCGCCTTCTCGTTCGGGCTAAGTCTTGTTGCTGTATTACTCAAACGTTTTGGAAACCTTTCGCCCGCACCTTGACCGCGTGCCGCTTTGGTCTGTGAAGGAGCAGCTGTGCCGACTCTAGTGATCCATCGGGTTCGCCGGCATTGCCGGCCCCGTTGACCCCTTTCGTGGTCGTCTCGACCTCATCCCAGACGACGATCTTGCATATCAGGGAAACAACCAAAACAATAGTATAGAAAGATCGTGGTTCCGTAGTTGTGTTAGAGGAAGCGCAAGATTCTTGTGCTCAGCTTTGTTTGGGAAGGCACGCCGCCATGACATTGCCCCGCCAACGACGATAACTTTGTTGCCTTGTCGCCTACCTCGCCGATAGAGGTGACGGTGATAGCCTGGGTTGTCCCTGGCAGGAAGCAACACGATGTGTAGACTCCATTTCCCTGTGTACGCGGTCGATTAAAGGCGACACATGTATTGGACAGGAAACGAGGTAGCGCAGTCGACTGGGATAGGCTAATCCCACTGATGTGTCTGGGGTGCATTTTGCAATGACATCCAGATAGACAAGTTCACGTAACATGCACGAGCAGGACTTCACGAACTTGCTTCGCTGCAACAGGTTGCCAAAGAGATCATGCTTCAAAACAACTCCTGCTGCATGACGTTCAAATTATCTCAAAACGGACATGCCGCATTCCGAGATGAAGAATTAGACAACGGAAAAATAGAACGAGGCAAGCCAGTCTGATGCGCTGTGGGATTCATCACCTTTTTGAAGTCATGGCGTGACATCCGAGGAATGTAGCCTCTCAGACCGCCGTCTTCCCAGCCCCAAAACATAGTCTTGCGGTCACCCGTCGTTACAATGTGCCGAATGTCAGAACTGTTGAACTTCACTACCTGCAGGAACAAGAAAGAAGTCGAATGGAAACTTGGTTTCTCACTACATCTCATTTTGCTGAACCACCCCCTCGATGAAGTCCCAAGTCTACGTATTGATCCCCACATTCATATTAATACTGTAACATGTCTTAAAGGTACGTGGTGGTTGAACCCAGGAGTACTGTTGCACCACACCAGCTGTGTCTGCACCTTCTGCACATCCGGCTCATCGATGACGCTGGTGAAGAGAGCCTCTTCCCTTTCCGGGTGAGTCCATTCCCAAATGCTTATCGTTTGAGGGGAGTCGTTTTCGCTCTCCGCTGGCGCTGGAGCACTCAAGGTTACGATGAACAGGGCGTCTGGCGAGATGTCCATTGCGATCACGCCGTTCGGATGCGGATTGAAAATGCTTTTGATTGGGATACCGGAAGCCGTGTCCCATACAACAAGCATGCTGTCCTGTCCAGCATCGGCTGTTACCACCCATTTCTTGTTCTGACTGACTGCGACGGCGCAGATACAGTTGCAATGCCCCTGTAACAGCGATGGAGACAAGCAGCGGCAAAGGCGAACGATTTGTAACGCTTGGGGGACCACCCTCGCTAAACGTAGGACATGGCAGGGGATATTGGCCGGTGGTATTGTTGGTATGTCGAACATCGGTAGTACGGGTGGGGATATCGCTTCACAGGGAAGGCGCGTCGGTATTGATTAGATCACATTCAATGGAGAATGTTGTTGTTGTTGTTGTTGTTGTTGTTGTTGTTGTCTTCACATTAAAAACCATCCCGGTCTCTCTATCCAGTACCTCCTTCTGTCTCAATCTCTCCGTACTAATCCAGCACTTGACTCGGTCAATTTCCGTGGTCACAGGCTAACGTACCTAGAAAAGGTATACCAAAATAAAATGGACCCCAAGGGTTAGCAGAGCGATAAAATACAAGAAAACAAAATATAATCAGAAACAAATAAAATAAAATAAAATAAATAATTAGACTAGTGGAACGGCCGCACCACCAGCCTGGGGGGGTAGCCTCCCACTACATGGAGGCAGGTCGACGGCCAAAGGAAGGGGCGGGGGTACGTGCCAGTAAAAAACAAAACAAAAGACAAAATAAAACAGAATAAAGCAAAGACGAGGACACAAACAAACTCGCACAGAGACAGGGATATCCCTAGAGACAGTCTGAACGCGACAGCAAACGGGGGAGAGGGCAACAGAAAAATTAGTCGTTGAAATTCGACCGCAACATGTCACGTCACGCGGTCGGTCTCTTCTCGCTTGCTTTCTTCCCGCCGCGCCGTTTCCTTCCGCCCCCCTACCGCCCCGTTGATTGGTGCCGTATCTAGACTATTTTTGGGCCCGCTGTCTCTTCGTTTGATGGCTCGTTGTCGGCTGGCCTCCTCCTTGCCCTTGTGCCAAGAGGCCATGAACCTCTCAGCTCCCTGTAGCACCCCCGCGTGCCACGGTACCCCCCCCTCCACCTTCGCCGCCTCGTCCCAGTCTGGCTTCGGGATTCCCAAGAAGCTCCGCTTGTCGGGCGTGGAGCCGTGTCTGGCTTCGAACATCTTCAGGTCGTCCTTCAGGCATATCAGCCAGTTCTGCTCCGGGCTTCCCCGGCCCGGGTTCTCCCCTCCCACCAACTCGCCGAACATCAGCCGTTTCGGAAGCCGCCTGTCTGACTGCCTTGCCACGGCCCCCGCAAAGAGCAGGCGCCGTTGACGGACAGTGGCCTCCACGCTCTGGCAGCCGACCCTCTTCAGCGCCTGGGCGTATGACAGCTGCCGGTAGGTGCCTCGTTTGCGCCGGTAGCCGATAACTCGCAGAAGCAGACGGTGGTGTGTCGTCTGCAGCAGCCGGTAGTGGTCGCGGTGTGGGGACCATGTCATGCAGCCGTATAGCAGTGCCGCCACTGCCTCCGCCTGGAGTAGGCGGGCCTTGAGGCGAAACGGTGCTCCCGGTTGGTCGAAGAGCTCCGTGGCGTATCGCCAAATGCACGCCCACGCTGCTTTGCTCCTGTGGTTGATCTCTCTGGTGAGGTCGCCCTGCTCGTTGATGAGGCCGCCCAGGTATCGGAACTCGGTCGTCTGTGCGTACCTTTGCCCCGCTGCTTCGATGGTCAGCGGCGGCGGTGGCGTCGGCGGCGGTCGCTGTTTCTCCTTCACCCGCATCACCAATGTCTCCGTCTTCCTCTCCGACACCGTCAGCTCCCGGAACACCTCCACGATAATGGTCATCATCCTCGCCAGGCCGTCGGCGGACTTCGACACAATGCCGGCATCGTCGGCATATAGCATCCCCCACACCGCCCTCCGAACTCGGTCCAGAATAGAGGTTTAAAATACATTTGAAAAGATTTTTGTGTACAGCTTGGTACAGCAGTAACAAATTCCACTTGACCACGATGGAAAGGTTCAATGGTACAAATGCTCTGGTATCGCGCGGGAAGAACAACAATTATTTTGTGTGTATTTTCTTGAATAGTCTAGACTAGTGACGCATTTCATGTTTTTCTTTTTCTTTTTTTTTGGGGGGGGGGGTATGTGTGAACTATGTATGTAGTGTTGGGTATTACGAATACAAGTAGGGGAGTATGGCTGTAGCCTACTCTTCTCCCGAAAGAAGTAAAGCAAGCACCGCAGGAAACAACGCGAAATTCAAGAGCACGAGAACCAAGATGCACAGCACACAAGCCAGCGCGCATGATAAGCAACTTTAGTGACTACATGAACACACCTGCAAGAGGTCTTGAGTGCGCTTGGCGTAGTCGTATATTACGCCGGTGTGGGCCGCCACGAAAAAGAGGGCCTGTCGCCCGTCAGAGCACAAGCTGTGTACACCGTCAATAACATCCTTGTTGAAACCAAAACTCCAGTTCAATGTGAGCGCATTCGTTGCCAAGGAGTTGAGAGTGCTCGAGGAATCCATCGTGTTGAAATTGTTCCACTTCTGCGACAGATCAGCACATGATCCTAAGATATGCGAAAACCAAACCAGCACCTGTAGCCGTTCAAGGTTTGAGTAGTCGTCGGCGTGAAAAAAACAAATGAAACGGCGACATAAACGAACGCCTCCACTTTCGAGTGGAACCCTATTTAACTGCTGTCTGTGTGCCCCCCGCCCCGCTTGAAATCCACACGCACACACACACCACTTACACGTTGGCGGCAGGAGAGAGAGAGAGAGAGAGAGAGAGAGAGAGAGAGAGAAAGAGGAAATGATCATCTCATACCATTTCGGGCCGGAGTCCGGGCCTTGGTGTGACTTCTGAACATGAAGAAACGGAAAGAAGGCGTTACAGGATACACTGCAGGATCTTGCTGAGCACTCCAGCTCACGGCACACGTGTGCCCCAAAAACTAGATGTTACACGCCGGGCTGCTGCTCCTAGCAGGATGTGTTTCTTGTGCGGGCCCTGCTTTCGCTCAAAGGTGGGTGTTTTTATCACAAAACAGACGGTTGGTTTTCTGTTTGCAGAGTAGCGATACTGGTATAGTCTACACCTTCCCCCTCGGCCTGCTCCCCGGCCGGGGCCGAATTCGACCTAGTGAGTCCCTCGCGGGCGAACCAGGCCACAACAGATAGTAGGCGGGTGGTGTCCCAAGGTGCAACTCACCGCCGCGCTGGCTCAGCGTAGCGATGAGGATGCACAGACCGTGGTAGTGGCGAGAGGTGTGTATGGACATTGTTCCCACGGCAGTAATGCAAAGCGGCAAACTGCATCTGGCAACCACCGTCGCGGAAAGCGTGGCCCACGAAGCTGGNATGCTCCTGCGTCAGTATATATATATATATATATATTTTGTCTTCACTGCAAATCAGCGCTCACAGCACTAACAAGTGCCGTTTACTCCAACCCGTGGTCACACAGAACAGCCCTCTCTACCCTCCCCTCCTGCGGTACTTTGCCTTCGATTTTTAATGCGAGAAAGTTCAGCACTCTCTTCCCTCTGTGCACACACGAACTAGCGCTATCCACTAGGCCAGGAGCGGAAGCGAGAGAAAAACACACTTTGCGAGAAAAGCTCGCAACCCTTGACCTGACCTCTAGAAGGTTTCGAATTTACCAACTAGACCACCGGGGCAACCGGTGTTGCAAAGCGGCAAACTGCACCTGGCAACCACCGTCGCGGAAAGCGTGGCCCACGAAGCTGGAGGAGTAGAGAGATCCGTAAACGCCACGGGAGTAAGCACAGCTCGCGGGAGAAGGGAGACAACCGCGGCCACCGCGGGGAACAAGTGGTGGACCCTCCTGGTCAAAACACCACAGGCAAGAACCGAGCTCTGCAGAGATGGATTGATGCGAGGAAACTCGCCGCTCGGAAAAGACGGAAGAAAGCACACCCGCAACGCGAGGTGGACCGAGAGAGACACGAGACCGCAGC